AGCGAGCGAGCATGAAGCGAGCGAGCAAGTCAGCAGTTCTAATTCGTATTGGGCTCTGAAAGAAGATTTTACTTCCGTTTCTCCACCAGAATGCACTGCTGTTAACCGACCAGAATGCATTGCTGTTAGCCGACCAGAATGCTTTGCATGCATGATGCTATAAATACGGGGAATCTCATTAGTCAGTTTATATAAGCCGGTAACGATGCAGTTCTTTTGGTGTATTTTGTATTTCATTGTATGCCTGGTCTGTTGATTTCTGGCTGGTCTTACACTATATATACTGAATTTGTTTATTACAAACAATTTATAACGCTTCGAAAGCGAATTTATGCGTTTGTGCTCTTCGCCTTATTTTCTTTTGTCTTTTCTTATTTCATGTAGCACTTAGCAGTAAAATCAAGATTGTATTTGCACGTCTGAAAGCGTTCATTTCAAGCATTAAAAGCGAATCAATTATTGTCCGTCAGTTTCACTTTGCTATAATTTAAACAGGGTTTAGGTTGTAGACCTTTTGTTTGAATATGATTTGACAATAAGGTAATTGACACGGAGACATGGCATGAACAGTCCGGCAACTGCCAACTATGTTTATAACATGGCGTTTTAAAAGAACGATGCTTTGCGTGCTATTTCATGGGTTAACTAAATGTACTTTGGCCGCCAAAAAGCACACTACGGCTATACTCAGTGCATACACAACATAGTTTAATTTATGCATGGTGGGCATTGTTTAAGCATGCAACGCAGCCAGGGGCAAGTCAGTAGGATCGTGCATGGGATTGAAGTATGTGCATTGAATATTTTTTATAATTGATCATGCTTTTGTTATTGCATGTGTCGAAACATTAAAAACAATGTTCTCAACTCTACAGGGTGCATCAAAAAACCTGGAAACCTTTGAAGTACAGGGTGTCCCCCAAAAAAATACCCTCTATAGAAATTATCATATTGTTATAATTTAAATGCCTGAGCATTATGCTGAACACAAGAGCGCGTAAACACAATTGAATTACCAGGAAAATGAAAAATCCTGGGCTTAACAACAATTGGGACACCTTGTACAATGTTTTTAGAATCTGCATGATTCAGAACTAATTGATCGCAAGAATGCGTAAACACAATAGTTGACCATTCGCAGTCGAACTGATAATTAGTTTTTAGCGTTACAAATAACTTTTTGTTATTCTAATTTCTATCAACGCGGTTAGTTAGAATGTATTTTCAAATCCCAGGAGCAAAATAAGTAGCACAAACATTGAAATGCTGGTAAGCAGCAGAGTTATGCAAATTATAGTGTTTGCAGGTTTTTTTATACACCCTGTAGTTTTCGAAGTAACGTGGCTTTAATTTGACGTCCTTGGATGCAAGTTTTGCTCCATGACCATGTTGTTCGATATTCAGTTCTTAAACGATCGACTTCACTTCAGTAAAATCAAAAGAAAGGCAATTTGGCGAAGAAGTATATTCAAGCGAAGTAAAATATCAGCTAAGCACTTTACTCTTTCTTTAGCCTGGTTCACATATATGCCTGCGGTATACCTGCGCTATCATTGTTCACAGCTTTTCAGAGCAGTTGTTGTCAATAGCCCGCCGACATACGCAGGTGTAAGTAGGTATATGTGAACCGGGCTTTTATGTTTACTAGCCATTTAAAAGTCCGTGCTTTATCAGATAAAATATTCGAGCTGCGCTCACGTGTTTTATATCTGACTAAAGCACTCCTGCTCGCGTTTTAAATAGTACATACCGGACAGTCCGCACTAACTGTACAGTTGTGGTCTTGTGACTTTTGAAGTATATGTGTGGTCTTTAATAGTGATACAGTGTATCGTTGTTGTGTAATTAAAAGCATTGAATAATCTGTGTGCTCTTAAAATAATTATTGGCTGATATTGTGGTCTATAGGGAAAAGGTTCCAAAAATGGGTGCAAGTTTCCATACTATTGTCGTTCTGATGTCACAGATATTAGAGTAACGGTAGGATCGGATAGAAAGGTTAAAAAAGGTTTATGGTTAGATTCTCATGTTTCGCGCACAATAAAGCTAGGATAGGGATGGGTTGTGATTACGGTCAAGATCAAAGATATATATTTGTGACCGAAACAAGGATTTATTCATATTTACAATAATGACGTCACAACGATTAAGTTAGTGTTGAGCTTACTGTCAGTTACGATGGGTTAGGAGCTCACGAGATTGTATTTAAACTGGGGTGCGTTGTTAATTTGGAAAGATGAGGCCGTTTTTTTATATATCGTCAAATTAAGGAGCAAGTCAGCATTTATACTACTGA